ACACCATATATTGTCACTGGAAGTACTTTACCCTTTTCTTACACACACACACACACACACACACACACACACACACACACACACACACACACACACGTACGTTTTATATTGAAATAATATTAATTTGGAAAAGTGCTTAGATGTATTATTTTTTAATCATGTTATTTAGATTTATTTATTTTTGTTTCAAATACCAAATTTTGGACTAAACTTTATACTTCTGTCTGTCTGATTATCTCACTTTCAAACATAAATCGGATGTTATGATCACGTACTCAGTACTCAAATAGGCTATATACTTTTTTACTCTTGAGTAATTTCTTGGACGGCTACTTTTTACTTTTACTTGAGTAAAACTATGTTGAGGGAGTGCTACTATTACTTGAGTACCATTTTTGGCTACTCAAGGATTAAAAACTAACATTAAAACGATTTTTAATATTTTAATCAACGTAGCACCCGACCATGTTTTCTTTCATCTGCTCAGATCTGATTGGTCAAAAGAACTCAGACTACACAGAAAGCAGAAGCTTCAGGTACAAAAGTCTCACCTATAGATTCTATTTTGTGGCACATCAAAGTTTTGGTAGCAACTAAAACTGAAAAACTTGATTAGTCTGAAAGAAAAGAAAGAAAACTGAGGAGAAGATTTTTCTTCACTTTGACTGTCTGATGTTTGATAGAGCATTTACCACCTTAAACCCAACCCCGCTGACCTTTGACCCCTCACCTCTGACACTGAGCCGCCCGTGCACGGGTCCGTCCACGGCCACCAGGTAAACGGCGTCAATGTTGTCGCTGTCGACTATCTGCAGCTGCTCCCAGGTGATTGGTCGGGACTGACCCTCCAACAGGTCTAGACCTGAGATGGCACACGTGTTCACATGTTACCTCAGCGAGTAAAACGCCGTGAGACATTTTTCACGCCACAGAGATGGACGCGAACGTACCCACGTTCCAGGAGACTCTCGGAGCATTTGTTTCCGATGTCCTGATGGAGACGTGGACCACGATGGGTGGGCTGGTCAGATAGGAGCCGTCTATCACCTGAAACTCCACCTAAGCATATAAAAAGGGAACGCAATGACAGGAAATTACATTATTAAGCGTGTAAAAGAAGCGTGTGAAACTTCACACAGTGCATTCTGGGTACACTTTCAGGGCTCATATCAGCCTGTGGGACAGGTGAGAGAAAAAGAAAGGTCTTCTTTTCACCTACATTTGACACCAGGATCATCTTCTAGTTGCGATTCCTTCTGGGTCAAAATAATTTTGTAATATATATTTCTTTAGCCGTTCCAGCCCAAGCAGGCCAGCAGTGACTTTGACCCTGTGTGATTGTATCTCACTCTCTCTCCTGCTGCTGTTTTTTGTACAGCTGACTTGAAGGTGAAGCGTCTCCTAAACCTCCATGTCTCCTTTTTTTGACATAGACATTTTTGAAGGGAACAGAACACGAACACTCAGATCTGGAGCCCCGGCTCAGACCCTCTGAAACATCGGTGTGGGGTGGGTTAGCTATGGTTAGCTTTGGTGTGCTGTTATGCTGTAGAAGTTGAAGCAGCATTAGCAGCTACAACGTTAGGTTAGATTCCTAGAATAAAAGCTCAGATATCGGCCACACTGCCCTGAAAAAAAGCTGTTTTCTCCAAAATTCCCAATGTTGGTGCTTCTAACATTCCAACTTTTCTACAGAAACTGGAAGAACCTTTGGAGCCCTGTCGCGTCTTCAGTACCTCATAGTTCCTGCGGCGCCCCCGGCTGCTGTTGGATGGCTGGTAGGCCACTTTCATCTCGTGAAGGTCCAGCCATGTGAAGGACTGGATGGGCTTGGTGTGGTCGTCCAGGTGTGTGATGTAGCCCTCGGCGGGTGGGACGGTCACGTTGAAGACCAGCTTCTCCTGCGGAGTCTCGTGGTCCTTGGCGTCCAGCGTGGCAGTGGTGAGCGGGGTGAGGATGAACTGGTCTACCTCCAGGATGAAAGAGGCCATGAAGGTAGCCTGCGGGGGCTGGTTCTGCATGGCCCCGTGGATCAAAACCGGCAGCCACACGGCCTGTGACTGTGGAAGGAGGAGGACAGGTAAAGTTTAACACACCACGCAGAGATCAACACATGGCGCCACAACTTCTGCTGTTACACTCGTGAGAGGTGTTATGCCACCGCTCACATGCTAACGATGAGACAGAAATGCTTTAAAGGAATGCTGGAGGCTTCGAAACCCCGCACAACCTCCGCCTGCACATCCGTCCTTATCGCCGAGCTGAGAAGGCGGGATGTCACCTTCTCACTGCCAACATCTCACCTGCAAACAGCAGAATCTGCACTTTACAAACTTTCTTCCTTTAAAGCAATTCTGAGCCTCATTTCTAATCTCTTTGTTTCCACGCTGCTGTCTGAGCTGTGAGCTCATCGGTCTTTCCTGTACCTCCAGCAGTGCTCTGCTCGCCTGCTCTCTCAGCTCCACCCTGACGGGGACGTAGTCGATCTCCGGGGACGGCGGGCTGAGGTGCTGGTACTTGAGGCCAGAGCTCAGGAATTCATGGCAGCTGGTTTTGAGGAAGCGGACCTCGGTGGTGTCGTGAAGACACGGACTGTTTCCTGGGCAGAGCGTCGCCTGTCGACCTATCAGAGTGGAGCGCCGAGGGTTTTAGACCAGTCGGTGAGTGGAAAACACCAGACGCACACAAACAGATAAACCACAAGCAGCCTGCATTTCAGTTTATATTTATACTAATGTGTATTTTATATTTAAGCATTTCTCTCAGTTATCTTTAAGTTTTGATATTTTTTAAAGTTTTTGCTTTATTTGTGCTCAACATTGTAAATAAAGTTTAATTTATTCAACTTAAAAGGTTAAATTACATTTTATAAACTGTGATGACACAATGAAACAAAGCAAATTAAAAACATCTTATGAGTTTGGTACCCTTCCTCTGCGTGGAGTCTTCCTCCCTCACCAGCCGACCCGCAGCGGGGACGCTGGTGTCTGCGGTCAACAGCCTGACGGTGCAGACAAGGTCAGGCGCGGCCCTGATATTCAGCACAGAGCTGTTGATGGCGTTGGATAAACCGTAGAACTGGGGAACGACCAGCGGAGCGTTGCCGAGTGCCACCACGCCCGCACCAGAGTCTACCACCCGGACCCTCAGGATCACCGTCTCCACCTGCGTGTCCGAGGACGTGAACCTCCACACAGACACCACATGTCATGTTAAACAGAGCTCCACACTGGCCCACGAGGTCATCACATGTACTGTACATCCAAATTTGAATTAATGTTTAAGCCACGTCTGTAAACGCTCCATAAATCTAACCTGCAGAAATTGTTTTTCTCATTATTCTAAAATGAATGGCAACCTTCAGGAAGCCTGCTGAGGGGCAGTGAGTGTTGAGGGGGGTCGGGGCCCTTTTCCTTGTGCTCAGAGGGGTTGTTGTTACTGTTTGCAGGTTCAGCTAACAGACCATGTCTGTGCCTCTAGGACTGGACTGGCACCTGAAATCTTATCTGCTGTGTGTCCCAGATGGGCCTCAAACTTTCCACCTAGGAGAGTCCAGGAATGTCCGATCACAGGTTGAAACTCCCTCCCTTCAGTGTTTCTACTCTCACCTCGTCACCCCAGCCCTCAGAGGAGTCATGTCTGCTGCTTGGATCCTCCATCTCATTCTTTCGGTCATCACCCACCAATCCTGCTCCACTGAACAAGCCCCTAACACCCTCTCACTGAACAAGCCCCTAACACCCTGACCCCCCCCAGCACTGCAGCCATTTCCAGCTGACCCTCATGGGTCAGAGCACCTCAGGTTAAAAGACATGTTAGAAGACATGTTGCAGACCTGTGGATGCTGCTGACTGACCTGTAGACTCTGAGCATCACCACGTCCTCGTCCAGCAGAGGGCTGCCGTCGTGGACATACTTCACCTCGTCCTCCAGGAAGCTGCAGTCAAACACCTGCAGAGTGCACAGAGCAGAGCGCCTGTAACTCCTCTGAGCGGCTGCCATACGGCACCAACCTGTTCCACCCTCACCTGTGGGCTCAGCCTCCCGACCCTCTGAGTCACGGGCTCGTTCATCACCACCTCCACCTTACAGTCGGCGCTCGGGTCCACGCTGATCTGAAGTTCCGCCCTCGTGATGAAAACCGAGCGCCCTCTGCTGACCTCCACGGCAGAGTTCACCACAACCAGAGTCCGAGGGCAAACGCCCGTCACCGCGAGCAGCAGCAGGGACACGAGGACGGCAGCCATGCTGTGGGCGGGGTCACCGGTTTCAGTAGTTCAGGTGAAGCAACGCTGAGGGAGAATAAATCTGTCCGAGGTTTCAGAGGTTCCCGCTCACATCGTCCTCAACTCCTCGTCTTTGGGCTGAAGGAGGAAAACAGGAAAACCTCATATTGTATTTCAGCGTCACTTGACTGATTTCACACACACACACACACACACACACACACACACGAGACGTCAAAATAAATATATATAAGAAATCCGAATGGAAACAAACTGAATAATATCAGAATTATTGTCTGACGTCAAACAGACAGAAGGTTCAACACTGTGGTGTTTGCATGTCTGCAGCTTCCTCCCACAGTCCAAACACATGCAGTCAGTGGGGTTAGGTGATTCTAAACTGCCCAAATGTGCTCCAAATGTGAGTGTGACGAGTTGTCTCTCGGTGTTAACCCTGCAACAGGCTGATGACCTGTCCAGGTGTACCCCGCCTCTCGCCCTACGGTAGCTTGGATAAGCTCCAGCCCTCCCACAACCCTGATAAGGACAAGAGGAAGAGGATGGACAAAGATGTTATTCTATTTTATAGGCTTTTATACACTTACTGCAGTTTAACTGTTCAAAAAGCTCATGTTAAATTTACTGTATTAGTCATTTGTACACACTCATTTCCAGACCCTAAAAACAAAATAATGGATGATGGAACAGAGCGAATCATATTTTAGAACTGGTTGACTAATGCTAACATTGGACCATTTACAGAGGAAATCATATGAACCATATCCAATAAGAGAGCACGGAGCCAAACACTGTGCAGGAGCACTGCCTGATACTGTAATTGGCTCATTTACAGTTTACACTGTAAACTCCGTCAGTCTTAAATAACTGCAGCTGTCATGCAAATGAGCTGTCAAAGTGTCTTCATCTGACACAACATGCCACAGAAGCACCGACAACATGTCAGCCGACCCCGAGCTTATTTCAGGCAGGTATAAATACAGGTGTGCATTTACATTTTGGTTTGCCCTTCAGTGTGCTGTGGGTGTGCTTTGAACACCACCTGTCTATGAAACCGAAGACTCCAGCCTCTCCTGCAGGAAATACTGCACACAAAGAAGCAGGGAGCTGCTGCAGAACAACAGAGTCTTTCTTCTTTTGTGGTTTTCTTTGTGTGTCCTCCACAGGTCAGTTTTCTGCATGAAAACGGCTCAACACAGATCAAACTAAAGCAGATTTAATAATGTCTGACTCCAACAGAGACAGATGTAATCCTGACTCTGACCTCTTCCAACACAAACACTGAACCCAGCAGACCAGAATACTTACAGCAGATACTCCAGAGCAGCTCCAACCCTCCTCCACTGTTCCCTCTGAATCCCTGCAACTGCCCCTCTGCCACATGAAAAGTCCTCTAAATCCTTCAGACAAAAACAAAAAAACACTCCCAGCATGCAGCTGGCCAGCCCAGCTTCTTCCCCCACTGCCCCACACTCCCAGCCGGAAACTGCTTCACCCTCCATTTCACTCCCAACCAAAACTGTCTGCAGGAAACGACAGGTTAATCTGCATGACCCCGCAGAGGTGCTGGACGGGCCGGGGGAGGGGGAGAAGGAAGGAGGAGGTGATGGGGTGTTTTCAGGATCAAAGCAGAGAGCTGGCGTGCTGCTTCCCATCCAGCCAGATGAGCGTGGGTTCATTAGTTTGAGGTTGGAAGGAAACAGAAGCTACAACGAACTGCAGTCCCTGTGACGTCCAGCAGATCAGCAGTGAGTCAGTCCCCATAGACTCCCATGTAATACATTAGAGCAGAAACAAACACGTTTAACAGCCTGTTTTTATAAGTTACCTGTTTAAATTGTACTAAGGCTTAAATTAGGATTATTAGAGGCGTGGCCTCTTTGACTGACAGGTGGATGTGGACACAGGTGGCTGTACCTGCGAGCTGTCTGCTAGGCTTCACCTGAGCTGGACCTCTGGGCCGTGTTTGTTCTGTTTGAGCCTTTTAGAGCATTTTTAATGTCAATGAGATTTTTTAACTGGATATATGATAAAGGATGTATAAAAGTCACTGCCAAAAACTGATTGCAGCTTCTACCTTGTGACAGGAATGTGGTTCAAGATGACTGGATATCATTCATGAGGAATCCATTTGACATGTTTCATATAATATAGACCAACAAGTTATTTATGACAGTTCAAACAAATTTAAATAACGCTAATCACTTTTTGGCACGACACCGGTCAGCAGTCTACACACGGCTCATCGGTACTTGACCCAATTGACCCAAATCACGCTGCCGCAGATGGACGGATGGATCCTCTCAGACGCTGTCTGGCTGACGTTCGAACAGTTCAACCCTCATCCTCCATCTTGTCTGAGCTGACGTGTTTAGATTTGCCCGAATCCCATTCTCAGAGACACCTGGACGTTAAACTGTACTGGACGGGGTGTATCTCTCTTACTTTAGTTAACAGTTGCTTATTTGGAATGTTAAGCCTGCATAAATTAAAAATTACTGGTCAAAATCATGTTTAATCGCAGTCCTGGTGATTTTCATCAACACCTCTTTGGTGGGCACCAGAATTTTAGAAAAAAAAACAAACGCTTGATAGGCGGCACCATTCACAGAAATCAGTAATGACTAAAAAGTAGACGTACAGAGACTTACATGTTTTGTAAGGATGCCGGGTTTTTACATAGAAGGACACAAAGGTACTGTCACTTCCTGCCACCAGCTCAGCTTCGCCAACAAAACGTGTCATCACTTATAGGCATTAAAGAGCTGAACTAAGTCGCGCTTCAGGTGAATGTCTGTCTGCATCGCTGCTTCCTGCTGCACCAACACGGCTGGCAAAGTTTCATCCTGAGCCTGCAAAGCCCATTGACTCGCTGTGTGAGGTTTTTCTTTTTTTAAAGGAGGAGGAGGAGGAAGCCAAAAGGAGAAAAGGGTGAGAGAATAACGAAGGAAAATCCTTTAATCTGCACGAGCCGGTTGGAGATGAGGGAGCTGGCACCTACCTGCAGCTGCAGGAGCTCCATACTCGTCTTCTTCACCTTCTGCACACGCTCACAGGAATGCTGTGACACAAACAACACAAACATCCACCGCGCGCCGTCAGTCACCCTGACACATCTGGCATCTGAGGGGAACAGAGGGGGAAAACTGAGATAAGGAAAACAAGGCGAGCACAGACGTTCTACAGCCAGAGAGAGAGAGCAGACAGGAAGTGTGCTGAGAAGTTTCCAGGACTTTTAGTTTTACTGCCCCCGTCTGTTTACCCCCTCTGTGTGCCTGACTCAGCTCCACCTTCTGCTCTCAGTCCTGAACCACATCAGAGCCCTGAGTCCCAAACACGCCTCTGATCCTCATCAGGAATACCAAACATTTCACTCACAGATCTGAGTCCACAGACTGAACTGTATCTGTTATCTGTACACTTCAGTGTAAACGTTTTAAATGTTAAATTGAACCTTCATGCAGGACGAGTGAAACCAGGGTGAAACGAGCAGCAAAGCTCCACAAAGTTCAGACAATAAACTCCCAAAAGCAGCGAGAAGGTTTCTGGTTTCTCCAACAAACCCATGAAGACTTAAGATGATTTCAAATATATGAGGCCAACTTTCTTCTGATTGGCTGCCCATTAAAAACCGCAGGTGGGTGGGTCTTGTATCCCTTCTGTGACATCCCACAATTTAACTAGTAGAAGAAGAAAAAAACTGTGTGAAGTCTAAACTTTCAGAGAATAAAGAAAAAGGTAGAACCTCAAGTTCCCACAGCAACTTAAACTGTTATTGTTAATATCATTGAAGTTCCTTAAATATAAATTAGACCTGTGAGGATCTTTCTGGTTCACGTGGCTCTTGCTTCATATGAAGTAAGAAGACTCAGATAACGATCAAGTCAGAGCCGTGTGAACGTCATTTGATTTCAGTGTGAGGCTTTTAAGACCACCAGCAGATCCAGCTGTGAATCATCGCTGACGGCGTGTTTAATCAGAGGAACCCTGCTAACAGCTCTTTCTCCATCACAGCTGCAGCTCAGCTAAGCACAAACACTGGAAGTGAAGGGAAACCGTTAGCATAAAGACAGAAAGGCATCTTTCGAGAACTCGTGTGTGCGTCTTTTTAAAACTAAGCTGGTATAAACAAACTTTGCCACAGAGCCGCTGATGGCCTCACAGCTCTGTTATCCTCGTTAACTCCCAGGTTACCCTGATCCCTGCTCTCTGATGGCTTCTGCAGCTGCCAGAGGAGAAAATCTGCCTTAATGGAAGAACCAGCAGCAGAAGATCAGCTGACTCAGCAGAAACAGTTTCACTCAGGCGGTAAACTGTTACCGTGCAGCTGCTCACAGCCAGCAGTGCTGCCTGTAACATTCAGTCTGAGCTCAGCTGAGAGTCTCCCTCCATTCCAGCATTACTGAACCCAAAGCAACAAACTGGAGGCAAGAGTCAAACACCATCACAGTGTGTGTCTGTGTCGTGTGTGTTTCTGAGTCTTTATCTGTGTGTTTTTCTACATGAACAAATCTGATTAAACCATCTCTGCCAAACAGAAGCTTTCCTGCAGGTTTTCAGGTTTCATTATGACTTCGCTGTCTCTGGCTCCTCCCACCACAGCTGCAGTAAACAAACGCTGAGTATTCCGGCCTTCCATCTTTACCACCATAACAAGTCCATTCGTCTGACATCCTCTCAAACTGTCCTCGGTCTCTGTTGTGCAGATGTGATTGGTTCCTACATTTCCCCGTTCTGCAGCTGATTGGGTGTTTGGTGGCAGCGAACGAGAACATGTCTTGCCATTTTTGCCGTTACCAGATTATAGGTTTCTGTTAGGGATTCTCTTAGCGTCTCAGCCTCCTTGATAACATTTCTGCTGCAGAAAAAGTCTTTTTCATCAGCTAATTAACATTTTGATGATTTTGGAAATCTTCTAAACTCCATGCAGCGATCAGCATCTTTCCTGGGACACTGACTCAGGGAGGAGTTCAGCATGTTCTTGTTCATAAGGAATATCATGTCGGCTCAGGTCTAGTTTAAAATGTAAGAAATTTAACATGAACACCATGATTACATGAAGCTGGCGGACTGAACGTACAAACTGTTTGGAAACTGAGGAGCTGTGAAGAATCATGAAATGGTTCACGGGGTCAGAAGGAGCGTTGACAAGGTCGTGTCCTCCCCATTCCTGTTCAGGTCTCCGTCTGAAGCTCGTCCCAACAGCATTTAAACACCTGTTGGGAAGCAGCAGTGGCTCGGCTGGAGGAGGGAAACCGTCCCAGAGGGAGGAAACAGACCTGCTGCGGGTTTTTTACTTTAGTGGGATGAGCTGATGACTCTGTCACAGCTGATTGGACGAGGTCAGAGAGTCGAGGTCAGTCTTCATCAGGCACGAACGTGTGGGGCGGCAGTGAGTTCGGCCTCTGATTGGTTGGAACAGAGGTGAGTCATGCAGAGTCCAAAAGCTGACAAGAGTCAAGTCAAGTGGCTTTACTGTCATTCCAACCATGTGCAGTGGTACAGTACACGGTGAAGCGAGACAGCGTTCCTTCAAGACCGTGGTGCTACATATAAACAGTAGGGGTGCAACGATACACAAAATTCACGGTTCGGTTTGATACTTTGGTGTCACGGTTCGATATTTTTTTGATACAAAAAAAATGTTCATGCCTTTTCAATTTGTCATTAAAATTATAAATATATATTTTAACTCAAAAGTACAGTTTTTAAATGTAATGTTGCTGGAAAGAAAAAAAAACTATCTGATCGAGAAATCACTCATCTTTGGAAAAGAGAGTTTATTACAGAGAAATGGCTCTTTCCAAAATAAAAGCTATACTATACGCTTCTTCTGGGCTATATTCTCAGCAGCATATTAAACATATCAGGTCCCCATAAGGGGAATCATGTGCTTGTTGTTTTTGTCTGCTTCCACTTGTCTTTGCACTAGGATGATGTCAGTGTAAATGTGCAGTGATATTCGTTGTGTTCCCACTAGTGCAGTCAGCGTTAATCTCGTTAAAATGACATTAATGCCATAAAGCAGCAAATCTCCGTTAACGAGTTACCTCGGATCGCCCCGTGCGTGGGGATGGACGGTGTCAACACGTTAACAAGCTAATTGCGCTGACGCACTAGTTCCCACCAACATTGCGTGCATTGTGTGGCACATCCGACATACTGTTTTACTTTTGTCCATGACACGCTTACCATCAGGGTCATGCTTCACATAGAAACCAATATAGTTCTTCTTCTTCTTTGTGTTTAACGGCGGTTGGCAACCAACGTAAAGGAGCATTACCGCCTCCTACTGTTCCGGAGTATGGGTCAGACAGTGAGTTCACAAGCTGTATCAAAAAAAACCCAAAAAAAAACAACCCTACATTCTTTTATGAACACCTATAGCCTTCAGAAACCCCACCAGTTCCCTCAACCAAGATAGTTCCAAACGCCAGATCTGAATGAGGGTGGGGGAGGTTCAATTTCGAGCTTAGCTTCTGTCTTGCTAGCTTGCGCTGCGCTCAGTGGATCTGCACTCGACAGTGCAGCCTAGCAGTGTTGCCAACTCCTCAGTAAGGAAAATCGCTATTGGCTGTCCTAAAAGTCGCTAGAAGTCGCTAATTGCCGTCATCACCTAATTTGCATAATTGGTCATGCTAATATAATTGTAACCTACGCTGTTGGAGAGAGAAATAACATCGTGGAAGAGACATAAAGTGAGCAAAAAACGTCCTAAATGCATTTAGAATTTATTTAGAACTACAAATTAAATTTCTTTTAGCAATTATTGTTTTTTAATGTCACAATTCCAACCCTGCTCCTTTATCCGGGCTTCGACCGGCAAAAGTGACCCGAAATAGGCACTCTGGTGGAGTTACTTTGTGTGTGTGTGTGTTTATAAGTAGTTTTAAACCTTGTGATCCACAAAACAGCATAACAGTAAAAGAAGAACTGACTGCATTACAGTCAGTGCGGGAGCAGCGGCTTCGCTCATGCGCGATTCATTTGCAGTTTGGACGCATAGGTGTGAACATCTCCTGCAGCTGGGGGAGGACTATCCTCTGCCCGTGAGTGCTTTAGCACGGGTGTTGAGAGTAAGAGCAACACGCTCTTTCACGTCAAAAAGTCGTCATAAATAAGTCTCCAATAACACCAGAAAAAGTCGCCAGATTTGTCGCTAGTCGCTTTTTAGAAAAATCTAGGAAGAATACTACAAATAAATTAAGTTATAAATAATACAAAATAAATAAATTATTATCGCTAAGGGGCCTGAAAACTCGCTAAATATATCGACAAAGTAGCTAAGTTGGCAACACTGCAGCCTAGGCGGAGTAGTCGAACGCAGATACACTGAGCGCTCAACACAGACAGCATCATCAGAAGAAAAGTTGATAAAATAAATAAATAAAAAAAGTTTGTATTGTTTGATACATATGGTACCGAACCGAAAGCACTGTATCCAACGGTTCAATATCGATACAAGTATTGTTGCACCCCTAATAAACAGACAATCAATACAGGACTACATAAAGTGCAAGTGTGCAAAAATTGCAACAAAACAAAGACAGAAGAGAACGATACAGGCAGAACAGTGCAATAGAAATGTGCAACAATGACAGTGGGTTGTGCAAAAAGTAACGTGATGTATGAATCTGTGTGTGTGTGAGAGAGAGAGAGATTGTGCATATAAGTGCTTGGTAGGTCTGTTAAAAAAAATGGATCCAGTGATCAGAAGCTAATGTAAATGTGGAACTAAACAGGAAATGGAAGTAAATGCAAAAAAATCAAATACACTTGATTAAATAATACATGTAAATGCAGAACTTAATAAAAACCAACCATCCAATAAAACTGCAAAAATGTATCTATAAAAACTGTGGAAAGGTTCAGATTAGGCTGTTTCTGACTCTCGGGTAGTTATGGCCAACATGTTTGGACCCCCGTACCTGAGTGAGGCGCTGTTGTGCATTTTTCCAGAGTTCAGAATAGAAACGTGATTTCTTAATGCATTTCTTTTTCATGCTTTGTGTAGAGTTTAAACCTGAAGAGCAATCTCTCTGAAACCGTCAGCCCCCCCGTCCCCCAGGCCGTGCACACGTCCTTGCCGTGGCCTCAGAAAGTGGCGGTGAAGTTGAAGCGTGTCTGTCACATGGGTTTATGTTCATTCAGAGGCTTCGCTGCCAGAAACGCACTGACTTCCAGTCCGCTGTCCGGCGCTCTCTGATCACTTTTGACTGCTACCCTTTTGCGTGGTGACTTCAGAGGCTACCACGGCATTTGGCCCCGTGCCCGCCCCCCCCTGGCCCCAGGGCCCCTGTCAGCCTGACGCCGTGACTCCTCCACCGCCTGAGATTAATTTCCCTTCCTCGCTGACCCATAATTAAACAGGCCGTGTCGCCGAGCAGCAAAGAAGAAGAATTTTCTCTCTGACTTTGCAGGCCTTTAACTTTTCTGCTGCAGCTTCATTGTGGCGCTGAAGAAGCACCGCTCCAAGTCTGAAGCTGCGGATGTGGAAACGGGGCTGAGCTGCTGGCTCTTCCTACAGCTCCGGTGGCCCAGAAAGTGATTCTGAGTTCAGTGAAGATCAGGTAAGAGCTGTGGTTCCTGCTGAGCCTCTTACAAATAGAGAGATGAAAGCCGCTCGGGTCTGCAGCGTGCTGGCAGGAGAGCGACGGGCCGCTGCCAGCGTCATGGCATCGACCCACAGAAAGCCGCCGCTCTGGAGAGACGAGGAGCTCTGTAATAGCAGACTCAGAGCTTCCATCTTGACTGAGCATGCTCTGTCTGTCAGAGGAAACTCTACTCCACTCATCATCATCATCAGGACGCAGAGAAAGAGAAGGCTCCACTTCCTGTTCTTCCACTTCCTGTCAGTCTAAAGCAGCCGAAATCCCAAGCAGACATAAAGAAGCACGTTCTGAGATGAACACTGCCCTTTCTGGAGTGTCCTTTGACCTTTACAACCAGTGTTTGTCTGCACAGAGTTTCAACTCTTTCTCCCGTACCTGTGAATACAGCTGATCCTGCAGCCAGAGTCCACAGCTGCAGGCCAGGCCACACTTCTCATGGCCGAAGCATTCATGATAACATGGATCTGTACAATTTATCTGCAGGAAGAGCAGGTTCGATCCCTGGCTGCTCCAGTCTGCATGCAAGCTGCTCTCTGAGTGTGAATGTTAGATAGAAAGCACTTTGGCACAGAAAAAAAAGTGTTTGTGTGAATGAGGCATGTTGTATATAAAGCCCTGTGAGTGCTGAGGAGAAAGGAGGACCTGTCCATTTAAAGAATCATTTTAACATGTGTGAAAATTTGCTTTTTTTGGCAAAAATAATAACTCTGCACAGAGCAGAGGAGAGTCTCTGGAACCAGAATTGACCAATTTTATCACATTTTTATATTCATATTTAAGCCATTACTAATATATTATCTTTAAATATCACAGCTATATAACTGCGCACAGTATTGGATCCGTCTTTACCTTATGGTCAATGTCACAGGAACCATCAGACAGTCCAAACACACCACTGGGACAGCGTTTCAGTACTGAAGAAGTACATGAACATTTAAGAATGAGC